AAGAGCTCCTCTTCCTCCTGAGCATAAATATTTATTTACAACTAAAATAAAGAAAACAAAAGATTATAAGTAGGTCTCTCTAATAATAATATTTTAATTGTATATCACATTTATTAGTCTGCCAGGAAGCTACCAATTTAGTTTTTAATCTATATATAACCTTATGATTTGTGCAGCTAAATTACATTGCACATATGTGGAGACCTTGGAATTCATCCAACTTACCTTTCATTAAAATAAACTGCCCTTCTAATAAAAATCAATCCATGTGAAGGTGTCATAATCAATGTGGGGTTTTGTAAAGCACCATAACATTTGTAGCAAATCATGCCTAGTTATCAGACTCCTTTGTTTCAGGTTTTCTTTTAAAAACAAAAATATAAAACACTGTCATCATTTTGATAAATGGTTATATCGCTCTAAATGTTGGTGTCTGGGCATCATGTGATCTGATAATTAGAGCAGAGGGAGAGTATGCTTTCCTTATTTCCTTCTCTATTTTTGCCCTCTTTTCCTTTGCAAAAAAATTTTTTTTTCTGCAGGGTTGCTTGTGAGCATTGTCCTTAACTCAACACCACCTTTTTTTGGTAAGGGAAAATCTATCTACAGGCATAGTAGAACTTATCTAGTTTGCACTGCAATAAACCAGAGTGCTTAATTTGCAAAAAAAAAAGTTATCCTGATGTTTTCCACAACTGTTGGAAATGGGGCAGCTCTTATACATGTTTGAGTTGGCAAAGGGAAGAACATTGCATTGACCTCAACAATACTTTGTGTGCTGTTGTGCAGCACTAACTTTCCAATCCATTAATGCAGTTTAGGGAGGTTCCTAGAATCATAGCGCAGGGCAGCTGGACCTCTATTCCTTCCGAGTGGTCACCAACCAAGGGCACCACTCTGACTTTTAACTCCTCAGCTGTCCTCTCTCTTGTATGGGGTATTTCCAAGCTACACAATTCCCTGTCCATACTGTGTATTTTACAATGTCAGATTAGGCCTGTTTCTCTTTCTCCTTGGAGGCTATAAACAGTATAATTACCCACTGTTATTCTTCAAGTGAAAGCATTATAAAGAACACCTATTAAAAACAAGAAAAGAAACCTATACACATGCTAATAGAATCTTTGGAACTTATTATGCTGTTTCTTCCCCTCCCCCCAAACATTGCATACAATCCTTCAATAATACATAAACATTTTGCGTTTTAATACAAAACTCCTAAAATACTTAAAGTTCATTTAATATCTTTTGTCAATAAAATTACCATCTCTGCTGCAAAGCCCTGTAAACTAAATGTATTGCAAGAGGCAGTTCAGGTGCCAGCAGCTAAATAGTTATGACCAACCCCACAGTAACGGGGAGCTTTAAAGATGTATTTAGCAGATGGAGAGAGAACCTTCCCGAGCTGTAGGGATCTGAGGGACTGTTCCAACCAGTGAAAAAAGCATCCTTGTAAAGATCTGGATAGTGCTATGCTACTCTTCATTTTGGTTTTTTAACTTTATTATTTGATGGTTGGGAATGAGACACTTATATTCCCAGTCACGTGCTGGGAGGACAATAAACACAACAGGAAGGTGTTTCAAACATTGTCTCCGGCAAGCCAGCCTCTCTTATCAATGCAGCCAAAACAGCAGGATACTGTTGTGTTCTTCAAAGCCCACTTACATCTGTCTCATATATAATGCTACCCATTATGTCACCTGTTGGATTGCATTTGGGGAAACATACATTTCACTGCTTAAATGATTTGACACAGGAGTAAAGAGCTCAAGGTTCCTTACCCTGAAAACTAAGTGGAGGGTGAAGAATGTGCCCCTTCGATTTTATAGTGATGGTTGCAGTATGGTAATCTAGATGGATTAGATCAGATGATGTCTTCTGGAAAGCATTTTTATTTGGCTACTCGTACGTCCTTTCTCTTATCATAGTAGAGTAACTTCCCATTAATTGTTCGTTCTTCTTAACTGTTGACGGCTGCTAATTGACGGCTGCTAATTATCTATCTTTGACATAGTTGCTATAGAAACAACTGTCTCATCACATATGGAGAAATATACCTTTGCTGTGTTCTTAAATTGTTCCCAGGTTGCCATGATTCCTAGTTCAGCTCCTCCAAAGACAGAGCTAGAAAGATCCATCTCAGCGGTGTAGGTGACATGGTGTGGAAATGCTGCAATATGGGCCTGCACTGGACATTAAGGAGATGGGAGTGCGTAGAAGGCATTGGAATGCAAGTGGGAGATAAACGGGAGGCACAAATTCTTTAAGTATCAGATAGGTTTGTTTTATTCACCTGTGCTCTATCAAAAACCGTGAGAAGTTGTATAGTTACCTCTGAGCATTTAAGAGTCTATGAAATATCAGCAGTCTTTCAAGACCCACTGAATTTTTTGTGGAGGAAACTGATGCAGTAATTACTATAGGACCTGATCATGAAAACCCTGCTGTCCTATGAAGTCAATATTGGGAGGATCAGGTGCTTAGCTCCTGCTTTTTGCTTCCTTTTTACTACTGTATAACTCAATATCGGCTGTTTTGATGATGATTACCTTACTCTGATTTTAGATTATTAGAATCAAGGTACAATTTATACCTTGAACTTTGTTTTGGGTGACTTTTTTGGACATAGAGTGGGGAATTTTTTTTTCCAGCAATGGCAAGGAATGATACAGCTGCACTAAATGACTGATGGTTGCTTTTTTACTTTTTTTAAATTCAGTCACACCCTACATAATCCTGTGTGAGGAATGAGTGTAAATATCTTGTCTGGTCTCCCAGAGAATCACTTTTTTTGAAATATTTATCCATTCAATTAAAGCAAATTGATTCCTGGTTGCTGCAGAAGATCTGTTCAAAAGTGACTTGAAAAGGGTAAAGAAAAGGTATTGGTCTTTGCTAGAAAGCAGTAAGTAGTAAAACAGATCAACCTGTTTTTACTTAAAAAAAATATTTTATTTGTTCCACCTGTACAGATATCAGACAAACACCAAAATGAGTTTGGTGGTATTAAAGTTATTGGAGATTTACAGTCAGGCTCTGAAGAAACATATATGTCTACTTTGCACAAGGAATACTGTAAAAATATTTAAATGGAATTCAAGAGCAGATTTTGGCTAGTTGCATCACTACAGCTACAGGCAACATCAAAGATGAGTTGTGAATCATACTGTAACTCCCAAGATGTTCTCCCGCTTTGACCCACTACCTCCAAAATAAAATCCAAGATACGCAGAATAAGTTAGCCTTCTAGGTGATATAACTGGGTTAATATTAGGGGGAAGAAATTCTTGGCTAACTCAGTAGGAATTTATTGTGCCATTCCCCAGGATGAACTGAACTGTTGGGGCAAATGTGTCTACTTAACTCTCCAATCCAGGTGCCTTTTACTGCTTTACTGGGAGAAACCACTCCTCCTCTTGTTTACATACACTCCAGTGTGCAAAATCATTCCCAGCTAAATTATATGAATGCTTTTAGCCAGCCACCCCTGAATTATACTGCAGAACGACACCAGGAAACTCCCTGTCCCTGACATGTCCTAGACATGTCTAGCTCTTTTTTCTTCTGTGCAGTCCATCATTTCATGAAAAAAACCTGATATGCACAATGCCTAGCTCTTTTTTCTTATGTGCAGTCCACCATTTCATGAAAAAAACCTGATATGCACAAACTCTGCTATCTCAAATGGAGGTGTCCGACACTTCAGTCCAAATGCTCACTCATTTAGATGGGATAATAAAACAAGTTTAACTACAGAAAGGTGGATTTTAAGTGATTACAAGTCAGCATTGTTTACAAAGAAATAAAAGATACAATGCAAAGTAATACCCAACTTAAGCTGAATGAACTAAAAGCAAAAAGATTTTTCTCACCACGTGATCAAGAAGTCTGTATTCTTCAGCCATAACTCCCAACCCCCGTTCAGTAATGTTCCTTTTGTCTTTTAAACATTGTTAATGGCATGAGTAGAGATGGGGGGGCAGAGGTGATTTTTTTTTTTTGGTTCCTCTGTTCTCCCTTGTTACAGTATTTCTCTCCTTTTTGTTAATCATCTCCAGCTGTTTGTCAGGGGACAGCAAGTCAGCTTGCCAAGATGTGACAAACAGCTGGGGACAGCAAGTCAGCTTGCCAAGATGTAACTTTTTCATTCACAGCCCCTTTTCCTGCAGAAGAATGAGTGCTTGATTATATTGACACCTGGTTTAGATACTGGCTAACTTTTTATCTCCTAAAACTGATTTGGGCTGCTTTTTTAAACTTAGAGCATGTCTCTGCACTGTCATATAGGAGACTCTTGTAACTTTATGCATAATGTTGCTACACACATTTTACCAGTAGATTGATTTTTCTAATGATACCTCACAAAGCATACTTTGTACAAAATTCTCATAGTGTTGTGAAAGTGATGAACTTGGGGCCATGCAACTGTGACAGACTGTACTCCTATCACAGTAGTATCTGAATTGCAAACAGGTACAGTATTCAGTCTTGATCTCCATACCTTCCCAGCATATAGATTCAACTTGACTGGGATTTTTTTTCCTTGTTTATGTTTGTGTGAGTGGATGTGCTTTGTGTGCCTGAAGAAATTCAGGGAAAACTAATTCAGTAAGACTTGTATACAATTTGAAAGTGCTCTTTCCATGCTTTTGCTTGGTCTCCTACTCTCATGAGCATCCCTTCTATTAGTCAGTTGTTGCGTTGTTATCCCAAGGTTCTGTTAATTAGTTTTTGATCTCTGTTATCTTAACTCCTAGCTTCTTTCTAGTCTTAAGCTCCTCCATCCATTTTTCCTCCCTTTCTCAGTTCACGGAAATTTCAGAGGGAGTAAATTTTGTTTAAGGATTACTTTTACTTCTATATTACCTGAATGCTTCCTATAAGTGGATTAGCTAAAGGCTGTTCAATATCATGTTCCAAAGACATCTAACAGCTGCAGGGGGAGATGCATCTTATGGAATGATTGTTTCCATCTTTAACTTCACTCTTTTATCCAGAACACCTGAAGAAACGTTTGGAAGACTACATGGCCCAGTTCCCAAATGTCAGAATTCTGCGCACCAAGAAAAGAGAAGGGCTAATAAGAACGCGAATGCTGGGGGCCTCTGTGGCCATAGGAGATGTTATCACCTTCTTGGACTCTCACTGTGAGGCTAATGTAAACTGGCTGCCACCTCTGCTAGGTAAGGAGGTTCTTTCAAGTGTGTTGCCCAAAACTGATCTTCAACCTAGTTACAGATGTCAACATATGCTTTATTGTATGTCCATACTGCTGTCTTATTCAGAAATGTCCAAAGGAGAACATAAATGACTTCCTGGAAAACTGATTTTCTAAAGAAAATCTTGGGAGGGTTGTCAGCAACCTGTAGCCTTAAGTACAATGCATTTCTCTATGGAAGAGTGATTAAAACCAACAATTTCCCCAAAAACATTTTTTGTTTAATTAAAAGCAGAGATCAGGTTCTGTTATTGCCCCACTAAGAGAAATCTTGCATAATTTATAGTTTGCTGGAAGAGCAAACCATTCATATAGTCATTCAGCAGTTCATAATGAGAAATTAGTTGTAGGATATAACGCTAAGCTTGTAGGTTTTTAAATAGCTCTTTACTCTGTTTCTATGGAAATATATTTAAGGTAACTTCATAATCTTCAAGCATGTGGAAAATAATTTTTATGGATAATATGAACCACTGCTCTGTACACCTACAATGTGTATATGGTGTTTAAAATAGTCTTTTACGGGATTGTGATTTCATAAAGTAAAATCTTTTGTATGTATCTCATTAAATGGGCAATATTCTCTTTAAGAGAACTGACTCTTTTCCATGCATCTTAATTCTGGCCTGCAGCACCCTACTAGTATAATTCTGGACCTTTTCTTTATATAACACTTATACTTGTACCAAACTGCACATTAGTTTTGTTCAATGCTCAAATGGGAAGTAGACCACCACCAGGTTTTTCACTCAGGACACTTGTAGGACCAGAAAGATTGTGCCCACTAAACCAACCACATGACTTACAACGGGCATCTTGGAGTTTCCAGCTTACTTAAAGTTGCAATGCTATTTGTTTTTATAGCATCTTTAATCCTGAAGAATATCAGACTGCTCTACAAGCCTATTTCAGATGACATATGTGCCACTGGAATGCAGCCACCTCTGGGATGTAACATGGCATCTGTCTAGAACATAATGACAGGATGCACCAGGAGGTGAAGAAAAATGCAGTCAGAAACTGAAATGAAAAATTGCTTGTTTCTCATACAGCAATGCTGTCACTTTCACAGTCTGTCAGTTTGTGTGTGTGGTATTAATTCTACATGGTGTAAAACATTTGCAACTTCCTGAGCCCAGGAAATGGAAACAAAAGTAGTCCAAATGTCATGTAAATGATAGCACATACAGTATGCTTTAATTTAAAAATATATAAAACAGTTTTTTACAAATGTTTCTAGGAAACGAAAATATATTTTCTGTCACTTTGGTTCTTAAAATTAACTTCTGTTTAAGAAAACTTGTTACCAAAAGGAATATTGAAGACGTTCCAGATGTCTAGGTTGGAATTATCTCCATATTTTTTAGCTGGAATTAAAGATTGAGGGGAGGAACAGATGTACATTTTTTAGAGCCTGCCAAGATTAGTTATGCCATTAGTCTAAATCACCTCCTGCCAGATTCTGGCATGACACTTCAGAGCATATTGGAGTTAGGTAGCATAATGGGTTATTATGGGTTATTATACCTTTTAACCAGTGCAGAAGGGGTTCATATTCAGGTCACTTGTGTAAATGAGTTTTGTGGACTCCACAAAGTCCTTAGAACATGCATGATAGTGTGTTTAATCTGGCATTTTAAGTGGCCTAGGGGAAGGATAGCCCCCCAATGGGATCGCTACCTTGATGTGGTGGGGGGCTTGCATGTCTCAGGGACCCTTAGAGCTATGCCGGTGGGAGCTGACTGCTCCTAATAAGGCCACCCAAGCTGGACAGGTCAACGGGTAGAGACCAGACAAAAAGCGATTCCCTGGTCCTCCAGGTTGGGGGTTGGGTGATGGGCTAACAACTCATCCCTGTAAAAAAAACTTTGTTATGGAAACCTCTACATCTTTCAAAATCAAAACCATCTCAGTCCAGGGAAGACCAAGGGCTCCTCAGCGGAGGCTTATGATGTACCACGGTCAAACCGGGAACAACGCTGTTGTACCGATGACCCTTAGTCGACCTCAGATGTCCCTGGGGGAGTAAGCTGCTTTCACATAAGAAATGTATGATGATTGGCACATGGAATGTAAGCAAACATGGCAACAAAGCTGCCTGGATGAAGTAAAAGCAGCTGGCTTAACATGGGATCAAATCAAGACTATCGCTAAGGATCGCAAGAGATGGGGAATGATTGTGGAGGCCCTATGCACCATTAGGAGCCCAAAGGACTGATAGATAGATGGGAAGGGTAGGGAGATAGCCAGGTATTTTTGTTTACGTTTATGATGTGTTCAGTTTTTCTCTCAGACTATAGGGGTGACTAGTACCATAGAGAGCACCTAAGTTTTCTATATCGTGTAGGTATCATTTATAATAAATAATTAGTTGATGTCATAAATACATTTAACACCAGATAATTTGGAATTATGCGAAGCCTCTGAAAAATAAAAGATTTAGGGCAGGTCTGCAAAGCAGTCATGGAGTATAACTGCAGCTCCTGTAGATATACCTGAGTAGCTCAAAAGCTTCGTGGGGGGAGGGAGCAGAGTTAATCTGTAACTGGAAAAACTTAAAACAACTAATAGTCTAGCAGCACCTTAAAGACTAACAGAACATGTAGATGATCTCATGAGCTTTCATGGGCACAACCACAATAGATTAAAAAGGGATCGAAAAGGTTGGGAACCACTATGCTAGACTATTCAGTGAGTAGCTCAGGTAATGATGGTAGTGAAGCTGCAGCCATGTGGGTTTCAACATGGGCTGTACAAACTTATGCAGAACCCTGGATAGTTACTTGGTTGGCTAGTCCATACAGATGTCTGTGCTGCTGTGTCTTCACTGCCCCCAGCCCTCAGCCTCGCTAGAATTAAAACTAGCTCAGTTTCATACTTTGTAATGCAGATAAGCCCTTTTAGTTTGAGGGGAAGTGATAGCACGCATCAGAACTAGGTGCACATTGCCTGATAAATATAATTCTAGACTAATTCTTGCCAATAAATTGGTTCCTCATGCTCAGATTTAAGGAAAAAATAGAAACACAACAAAGCAGAAAATTCAGCCATTCTTAGTGAGACAGGTGCTCTAGAGCTGCATGTATTCAGTGATACATTAAAGCTGGGCTTTGATGTTTGAATTATAACTATCTGTATGGTGGTTGTTCTGTGGTAGTGAGATGAAATAGGCTCTTGTTTTCATATTGGCTTCATACTCGTAGATGCTCTTCTTGTAACAATTGGTGAATGGGGCCACTAAGCTAGCTGCTTACTGACTTATTTCTCTGTGATCCTCAGACCGCATTGCTCGGAACCGCAAGACTATTGTGTGCCCAATGATTGATGTAATTGACCATGACCACTTTGGATATGAGACCCAAGCTGGAGATGCAATGCGAGGGGCATTTGACTGGGAGATGTATTACAAGCGGATCCCTATCCCTCCTGAATTACAGAAACCTGATCCTAGCGACCCCTTTGAGTAAGTGTTTGACATGCAGAGTGACAAGTGGCTAACAAAAGGTGCCCTGTTAAAGGGTTTCTTACGCTTTATTGTACTGAGAGTTACAAGTTGGTGGTAGGTTGCTCTCTGTTTTTGGTAGCTGTTTACTTTGTTGGATAATAAGTTTCATTTAGAACAAAAACAGTCTGTAGCTATTTTTTGGAAATCTAATCTCCATAGAAGTTAAGTTAATAAAAAATGCAATGTCTAATGTGGTTATCAAGTTAAAAAAATCTTTGGAACCTAAGTTTGTGGCATGGCATTAAGGATATTAACAACTAACAAATAGCTCGTATGTCATTCTCAGGTAAAATATAAATAGAATACAATTATAGAGCAATTTTGGTGATTGGTGTATATTATAGAAGTAATAATTTGGGATCAAACTGCTTTGTTATTGCTGTGCCTGCCAGCCTTGTAGAGCGATAGAACTGTGTCACATTTCTGCATCACAAAACTGAAGAGCCACCTTATGATTGCAAGCCCAGTAACTTTGCAATTATGCTAGGAAACTTGATTTTTGGTCTCTTGCTTCCTAGACTGGTGGGGCAAGGAAGACTGCAGGTTTAATATGTCGGGATCCCTCCAGGAGAGGGGAATTCCTTGTGTCACTCAACAGTGAACCAAGTAACCAATGTGAGGAGTGGCGTTGACTGGTTCCAAAGGGAGCCCTCTCCAATCCTCCTGGGTTGCAAAGAGTGGGAAAAGGTTGTAAAGCAAAGATAACTGGTAGATGCTCTGACAGAAGTGCAGAAGCACTAGGAGAAGTGGGTGGTAAAAGAAATATTAATGGTATCTTGTTTGTTTTTGTTTTTGTTGTTGTTTTTTTTAATGTTCAGCGGGAAAGCTGTATCTTGAATATGTTTGTAATACGGAGTCTGGTTTTTTCTTAAGGTCTCCTGTAATGGCTGGAGGACTGTTTGCAGTCGATAGAAAGTGGTTCTGGGAGCTGGGAGGGTATGATGCAGGTCTGGAGATATGGGGAGGAGAACAGTATGAAATATCCTTTAAGGTGAGCTATGTTCTCTGAAAATTACTTTTGCTTTGAAAAGATCTTGAAAACTAAGAAGCTTTCTAAGCATGGATCACAGGTTCTCTCTCGTGTGTGTGTGTGTGTGTGTGTGTGTATGCTATAAGACATTTGAAAAATATGGGTGGCTCTAAGATAGTGGATAGGGACAGCACTGTCACAAATTCAAAACTGGCTAAGACCCAGAAGATAAAGCAGTAGTCATAGTCAATTTGCAATGTGAGACAATATTAACTCTGATGGTACCACAGAGTCCATTTTAGGACCAGTATTCAATATAAGTGAAGCTGGCAGTTCCATCTTAGTAAGGTTTCGTGACATTTCTCATTATAAGGTCCTGCTTTCAGTTGCTTAGCACTTCCTCAAACTTTAGCTGTTTGTGCTAGAAATTTCTATGCTGAGGTATCTTCCTTAGGATGATGCTTTCTGGAAAGCTCCAGCCAAAATAGTTCATTTTTGTTCTAGAACAAGGTTATAGAAAAATACATTTTGCCCATGTTGTTTAAAACACGTTTGGCAATGTTTTCTTTGAAAAGCTCTAATGCCCCCATGCTTTGGAGAAGGACTCGAGGGATGTCCTTGTGAAAATCCATCCAAATTTGGTCAAGCTATAAGACTTTGAAAAATGACACATCTCAGCCATCTTTGATTTTTAGTAGCTAACATTTCCGAAGAGTCCATCCTCGTTAAGCATGCTCCATTCCTTCATAGCTGATGAAGCTGAGCACACTGCAATGTACCATCTCCATGGAATACCTGAGTGTGCTACCTCAGGCAAGGACTACAGGAGCAATGCTCCTGTAGTGGTAGCTACCAGCCATTGCAGGCAAAAATGGGACTGTGCTCTTGGATTAAGTCTGACATTGAAGATGGTGAGGGAACCTAATCAAGTTAGGAAATGAAAACACAAAGCAGACAAAAGTAATTGTTGACATATCTAAGCTAGTGAACATTGAAAGGGATCATTTGAACTACTCATCCTCCCTTTACTGATTTCCAAATTAATGAAAACCCTTTACTAAAAAGACCGATGAATGACTGTCAGTGAAAATTTCTGCTCTATATAATAGTATCAGTGGGGAAAAACTGCGGACAGATAGGAAAATACTGAGCCTTATGCCTCTATACATCAGTAGTACACATTCCTCTAAAAAAGGGCTTCTCTGCCTGTGGATGGTGGCCCAAAATTGGGTGCCAGAATGCACCAAAACACTTGCGAGCAGCTTGGATCCCATGGATCTAGCCAGACTGTGTTCCCTACTCTGGAAGTTACAACCTGTGTTTGGGGTCAGTGCCACTCGTTTGGCCCTGATCCTCGCAACTAGGGAGGCTGTCCAGGCCAAACTTGAGTGAGTGATGTCCCCATATGCCAGACTACAATGCGAGGGCTGGGCCACGAATGTGAGAACTAGTCCAAACCCGAGCGTCACTGCCACCCTGGCAGTCACAATGTCCAGAGTAGGGACCTGAGCCCAGCTAGCCACATGGGACTGGAGCTTTAGGATTCCCTGACAGTGGGATGGGGGAGGGCAGGCATTGAAGGGGTCCCTGGCAGCAGCACCTGTGGTGCCTTACTGTCCAGCGCTGCGAGCCAGGATGGGCCTGCTGCGCCTGCCTTGGGCTCCTTCATGACCGCATGAAGCTGGAGCAGGGGCTCTTTGGGGGCTTTGTGCTAATTCTCAGGCTCCCTCAATGGCATGGATGCTGCAGGCCCTGAAAAGATTCCCTGCTCCTCCCAAGGTGCTGGGGAAGCTGCCATGAGTGGGGTCCTGTCAGCCACAGCATTGATCTTTCCTTAGCCCCTGGCATTGGTTCAGCCTATTTTCCTGACTGCAGAGTCTGATGAGCCATCCCCTCCCTGGGACTAGGGGAGAGAGAAATCAGGCTCTGAGAGAGAGTAGGTTCCTGGCATCTCTACACCCTGGTGTGCAGGCACCTCCAGGGCCCCTGGAGAACTGTCCCCTCTGGCTCTTCTTCAGAGGCTCGCAAGCAGCAACTGTGTGGGGAGAGCCCGGAGTGGAGGGATGTGGGGATTTGTGGGAGGCAGAAACATGAGGATCTTTGCCCTGGTGGCTCGTGTCTGCTGTGCCCCAGAAGTAGAAGCCGCTTGGCACCAAAATGCTTCAATATCAGCAACTAGTGCTGCTGGGTTAAAGGGCCACACTTCACCATGAAACCAATCGGATCATCTCTTCTCTCGCAACTCCCCTTTTATTGTGCCCCTTCTTGGTCGTCTTCTGTCCTCGATACGATTCCCCTGCTCTCCTGTTTGTATTCTCTCCCTTGTCTTCTCATCCCCTTTCTCTCTCCACTTTACCTCCATCGTTCTTTTGACTTCACACCTTTATCGAGGCGACAGCTGCAACCTACCACAAGATGGGATCCAAATTAATATGTGGGTTCCTATCTATTTACAAATGGTGGGAAACCTTCAGGAGGTGGGAGTGGAGATGGGAGTAAAGCAGGAGGCAAATATAATAATTTGGCCAAGAGTTCACCCCAGAATCAGAGAAGATTGTCTACATTTCTGATGTGCTAATGTTCTCTGCCATTTCAAAAAATGCAAGAGCTTCCACAGATCTAAGTGGCCCTGAGCCCCCACTGAAAGTTCCCCCCCCCATTAAAATTTGAAATTGTGCCTCTGCAGGGGTACTGTAGGTGGGTACTGCAAACCAAACCTTGCCTTTTTCTCTCTGCTCCCCTCCCCTCTATTCCTGGAAAGATATGTATATATTAGGAGGCCTATGTGAGGTATAAAAAAGTGGATGACATAAGAAAAGGTAGATAGGAACATGCTATTTTCCATGATACACGTAAAAGAAAATATCAGTGAGCCTGCCATTTAAAACTGGTTAAAAAAAGGGGGGGGGAGGTATACACAATGCATAATTAATTGATAGATCTCAGTGCAACTGGATATCAGTAAGACCACAAGCTTGGTAGGATTCATAAGAGGAATAGGTATTTATATGGACAGTAAGATCATGGTTATATTGGGATATTTTTATATCTTAATACATATAAGCTGTCATGCCTCAGGTACAAACTGAGCACTGATGTGGATTAGAACGACGTTTCTCCTTGCCAGGAGGTTTCTTGCACTTCTTCTGAAGTGCCCAGCTGCTGCCAAAGGCCAGATGCTGGTCTAGATGGAAACCTGGTCTAATCCAGGATGGCGGTGCATATGTGTTTGAGGCTCTGATAGCGCTCATTCGTATGAATGAGTCTATTCTATGCGACTGTAAAACACTCGAGGAAAACATACGGAAACCCTCTGTTGTACATGTTTTACTACTGTTGAGATACCTATATATTTTGTAAACTTCCATTCTTCTGAAACCGTGGAAGTATGTGGCAGTTCTGACCTCCCACTAGTATATGTTTTCTTCCTGATGACATTTGCAGAACTCTGACTTCATTTTGTTTTCTGGTGAACATAGAGCTCTTTGGGAGCATTGGATCAATAGATTCTGATGAATGAAGTGGTCTTTTCACAAAACATACATGGCATGGGCAGTGGCTATAGACACACCTCCACATTTACCAGTGGGTTCTTTCCAGGGCTGAAAATAACTTACATTTCCTACAGGTGCTTTTGTATCTCAATTTCCCCTCCCCTAGGGGCTCTCAGGGCAGGAGGTTGAGGGAAGGGGAGTTGTGATACCACTGTAAAAAAATGTAAATGTGGGATGGAGTGCAGGGTGCTCATGGGAATGGGGTGTAGGGGGCTTAGGGCAGGAGGGGGTGAGGACGTGGTGGATGCAGGAGTCAGGGTTGGTGGGTGTGAGGAGGGGCTATGGGCAGAGGGTTGGGATGTGGGGGCTTTCCAGAGTTAGGGGTGGGGAGGGGCTCAGGGCACTACTGCTGATTTCATGAGCCCAAGACACTGAATCTGTGTGGTTCATGAATTTGTCAAGCAAAAATGGTGTCATTACAGTCCATTGACTTCTGTTACCTATGTTCTTGTGAAACGATGCATCCTGAGATATCTTCAGTGAATCGGGAAGTGGCAGTGGATTTCATAGAGAGGGGGAATGAATTTTATTTAAAGGTTAGTTAAAATGTATTTCTGTACAGAATGCCTCCTTACATCCTAGAGGAAATTCAACCCCATATCTGTTTGACTCCATTTTGCTTTAATTAGCAATTTTCCTTTAACAGATAGCATTAGTATTTTGATTCTTACAGTCAGTCCTAGATGCTACTGAAAGAAAATATTGTCAGCATGGGTCCAACAGATGGTAGCAATGACCATGCAAACAATGCACAGTTCAGCTGAGACAGCCAAAGTCCCTGTGCCAATTCATATCTTGTTAGTTTCTTTCACCAAGTAGTTTCACAAATCTGAATGACTTTATGCTGTTTTAAATACCTATCAAACTCTGTTCATCAAGCAGTTACCAAACAGTAAATGATATTGTCCTCCCATTGTTTATTTACAAAAGGCTAAGTAATAAAGCCATATTGGAGGTCTCTTTTTCCTCTACTAGAAAAGAGGGGAATAAAATTTTCCCTTGGAGATTCCATTATAATTGGATCCATTTATCCCTTTCAGAGTTGTGTAGTGAAATTGTGTAATATTGAAATTCTCTGCAGGAGAGGGCAGAGGCAGCATTCATCTTCTTTTTCTTGGTCCCCCTTTGAAAATGCTAGTTTCCAAGAGCGATGACAGTGGCTATGCAAGCCCTTTGTGTCTCTCATGCTGCAGCAGACAGTCACACTGCTTGATCTGCAGGAAACAAGACTACTTCATTCATCTGTTTGCTTACCCTCTCTGAAACACACTGTTTTATTTCAGTCCAGAGATGGTAATTTATGAAGGGCTAAATTTACTCTAATTAATCTCAGCAAAGTCCCTTCTTTCATTGACAAAAATGAAGTTTCAACTGAAAGAGGCTCACTGTATTTCAGAAGTTAAGATAAATTGATACATTCATCGATGGCTCATAGATTTAATAATTGTGCAGGAATGGCAAGAATAG